TTTTTTTTTTGTCGTGGTGGAAACACCCATATGTATAAGCACTCAATTTAGTTTGCTCGATCTGAAAATAAAGCTTCTCAGCGGTGAAAAATATACTATTGTAAAAACAACCTAAACGAGTGAAATTCTCAATAGAGCTATTCTTCATCGAATGAGCGCCATAATACCAAATGAAAATTCGTTCGATCAGCACTTTCGACCAGTCGAAGATCGAATGCAACTCATAATAGGGGCCAAAGCATCAGTCTCTTTTATTTCTAAACTATAATTATAAGTTGCGTTCCCCAACTTTTCTGGGTTGAAACCTGTAAAACTGTCACAAAGCAAAAGAAGCCAGAGAACCGAGTACGGGAACGCTTTCTGGTAAAATCCTGTAAATTCCTGCAACTTCTTGCGAGTTAGGGAACGCAACTATAGTTGATGGAAATGTCAAATATGCGTAACCACTGTTAAAAACCGAATTGGGACTTAGTTGTGTAAATAAGAATTTCAATTAATCTTTAGAAATAAATGATACTGATGCTTTGCTTTGATGCATTTCTGAACGCACCCACAGCTAACGCCCGTCCCTATGGGCAGCCCCTATTGAAGTCGCGCACTTCCTAGGCCTTCCCTTAGCTGCTCCAGACGACAACGCAGATGGATTAACCGACGGGAGCGGAGTTTAGTAGCTACAACAAAACTTAAAACTGACCTCAAGAAAATAGAAAGGCTACAAAATTATTTTTTTTGTTTGTTTATTGGCTTAATAACCTCCAATAGTGGCATCCTTGCGATTTAACTCTCTTCATTGCTGGTATATTATATAGCACATAACGAGTTCATCGACTCAACTGAAAATTGTATGCGTTGATTTTTGAGGCTTTTGAATTGGCAGAAAAAGTTTGAACTCCGGTGGAAGCTCCTCTTCCGAATAAAGTCGATCAGAAAAATAAACTCTTCTTATTCTACAGTTCGCATGTATTTGTACGCGTAAAGTTTCCACATAATTTGTTCCATATGCACGTCTTGTAAAATCTGAAAGATTGAATTGTATTTGATTCCAACCTTCATCGAGTCGCATTGGCATGGTACATATAAAAGGTTTAACACGGGTTGTTGACTGGTAATTACTTGCGCGAAATCTTCGCCGCACATTTTTGTCGTCTAGAACCTGGCTCAAAATTGACAATGAATAGTACAAAGGTCTATATGCATTTTTAGTAACACTTACTTGCACTTCAAATGTAAAGTACTTCTTCAAATTTTTTATTATCATAACTAAATAAGGCAGTTTTATTCCTAATGTCTTTTTCGGATCTGCAGGACAAGTCACAAAAGTGGTGCTTACATTAGTGCCTACAATTTCTAACACTAAGCTCTGAATATCATTATCAGTAATGCGCTTAATATGTCCATTACGAACTTTTTTGTCCCATATTTGCAAAGGTTTACTTCCAATACTATACAAAATCGAAAGAAACCCCGATTGAAATGTATTTTTAAACATTTTCTTTTAATAGTTTCAAATAGACCTAGTTGATCTAAAAAAATGGATATGGAACAAAACAAAATGTATACATACAGTATCGGTCATATCTATAGCACGCCATTTCAAAGTGACAAACCCCATATATACCCAAGTTCAATAATTTGTAGAAAACTACAAAAAAGTGTAACAACTTTTCACTTAAATTTCAAACTTTTTTCTCGGAAGTGATAGAATTTTTTTGAGTACACAGTTTTTTAGACCCTGCAATTTTAGTCTAATAATGTGCAAATTTCAAGTGGCTATGAATTACCGTTGATTTTAGAGAATTTTTTTTGTCGCATTGGCTTCCATATAATGAATAAACTCAATTTATTTGTATATGGAAGAAAACCGCAACATCCTTGGCGAAAAAAATTCTAAAAAATCAGCGGTAACTTTTAGCCACTGGAAACTTGCACATTATCAGACTAAAATTGATTGGGCTATAAAACTGTGTATTCAGAAAAATTCAAACACTTCCGAGAAAAAAGTTTGAAATTTAGGTGAAAATTTGTTGCACTTTTTTGTAGTTTTCTATAAGTTTTTAAACTTGGGTTTATATGGGTTTTGTTAGAGAAAGAACTGTATTTTAATTGAAAATTCTTAAAAATAAATAAATAAACATAAGTGGCACACAATATCACTTTGGAATGGCGTGCTATAGATATGACC